CTAGTTTGGCTCGGAGTTTCGGCCTGGACTGCTACCAATATGCAGACGATACCCAACTCCTTCTGTGCCTGGAGCAACGTCAATTCCAGACAATTTCACCCTATGTCTGGAAGCTCTGTCAAACTGACTACGTGCTAGCAGACTGAAAGTGAACCCAGCGAAGACTGAGATTCTCTGGCATGGCCGCCCGGCAGGTCTGACTCCTCCATTACCCACCTTCGATGGTGCCGCCCTATCTCCATCGACCACTGTTAAGAGCTTAGGTGTCATCCTGGATTCACAGCTGACAATAGAAGCTCAGGTCGCTGCTGCCAGCAAACAGGCCCTTTTCCATCTACGACAAGCGAGGCAACTGGCACCCTACCTATGTGACGAGGCTCTGACAACTGTCATCCATGCCACGGTCACGTCTAGGCTGGACTGTTGCACCGCCCTGTATGTGGGCCTTCCGATGTCTACGACCCGAAAGCTTCGTATTGTTCAGAATGCGGCAGCCAGGCTACTCACAAGAACGCCCATGAAATGCCATATAACACCAGTGCTGCAACATTTACATTAGCTTCCAACTGAGTACCGTCGCCTGTATAAGATGCTAGTTCTGACCTTTAAAACTCTTTATGGCCAGGGTCCATCGTACCTTAAGGACCACCTCTCCTTCTCCCATCATCGGAGGTCGCAACGACCAGCCCAACGTGACTTACTCCATATACCGGGTCCTAGAGAAGTGCACTTGGAAAGGACCAGACGCAGGGCTTTTTTTGTATTTCTGCCCCTGCCTTGTGGAATTTCTTGCCGCCCTACATGAGAGCCATGCGTGACTTAGGGCCTTTTACTCTCGCACTTAAGACCTGGCTTTTTACTAGAGCATTCTGTGACAATGTGTAAGTTTTATTCTTTGGTTATGTGTAGTTTGGACAGTGGTTTAGGGATGGTAAGTATGGGAGATTATATTTTGTTAGAGATGGTGGCTAGTGGCTTGAGCTGAGTTGCCATAGCAACGGGGGCGGAGCCAACTATCACTTCACGGCACAGCTTTTTGAAAGTGGCAGTCTGTGGCCGGTGAGCTACAGGAAGGGACTGATTTCTCTAGTGGGAGAAACAGGGAATTAGTCAGTACGCCAGCGAGCTACTGAGTGAACTGAATCTTTTGGTGGAGATTCAGGGAATGTGTCTGTAGCCAGTGTGCTATAGGGAAAGACTGAATCTCTTGGTGGAGATTCAGGGAATCAATTGGTGACCAAGTGGTTGCAGAGAAGGACCCGGTACAGGGGGTTGTTGATTCTGAATTAAGAATCAAGGTTTGGCTGGGTTTAAGCCTGTTGTGCCAGCTGTGAAACCTTTTGAAGTGTTTGCCTGAGTTTACTCATGAAACCTTTCCAATGTATCCATCAAGATTTGTGCCTCTTTTGAAGAAACAGTTATACATTGTTATACTCCTGTTAAAATAAACTTGTTACTGTTTTCCTCAAGCCTTGCCTGATACAGTTTCTCCTAAGTTGAACAGCCTGCAATAGTAAAGTCAAGCCAGGAAAGTAAACGCTACGCTATCAAATAAATAAAGCCTTCTGTAATTAACAGTCTCTTTATAAAATAGCTCCTAGGTTGATATTGATCGTTGCCTGGCTTCCCTCATAGATTAGGTGGCAGTGGGTGCTTTACCACGCGCACCTTCACAATTGGTGGCATTCGGTGGCATTAAAACGGTCATCGTTACGATTGGTGGCAGCAGTTTAACGACTCCTTCACACATTCGATCTCTATTAATTTTTAATTTTTGTATGTATGTATTTTATCTTTTATAATTTAGCTGTAAATCGCCTAGAGCATTCTCGGATGGAGGGCGATTAATAAATTATTAAATGATGGTGGTGATGGTGGTGATGATGATGATGATTTATATACCGCTCCATCTCCCGAGGGGACTCAGAGCGGTTCCCAAGTAATATCACAAAACATACAGAGTAAATTGCAAATTGCATTGGAGGACATAAAGATTCCTAGAGAAGTCTCTAGGTCTGCTTTCAGTCGAGAATCCATTGAAAAGTTCCTCTCTGTGAAATGCTATGAAGTGAAAACCAAAAAAAGACAAGAGTCCGTTTTAGATGCAGAGGCTCATTTATTTATTTGCTCCCCATTCATTTCAGGGGTTCCTGGCCTTCTTCAAAACATGGTTCTGATGGATTCGCCTCCTTATAGAACTTATATTTGCATGTTGTTTTATCAACCACTGCTACACATCCTTGAACATGCGCAACGCCACCGTATCTAAAAATAAGAAGCAGAAGAAGAAGGTATCCACTGACATGGGTTTTTAGATTTGCAAAGAGAAGAAGAGTGAGGTGCAGCTCCGTCCTACCTAGATCTAGAAGAGCAGTAGCAGTTGGGATGAGGTGGTTCATCTCCATTCCGCTCAGGCTCAGAAGTACGTGAAAAAAACCACCCTCTAAGGCCAGGGCGGTGACAGTTGGAATGGAGAAAGGGGCTCCCATCTGGTTCTAGGTCTAAGGCATGATAGGAGCACCATCCTCTATCCCAACTGCCACTACCCTGGCCTTGGAGGGAGAGAAGAGGAGGCAGGCAGAGCTCCATCATGACTTGAAGCAGATGAAACATCCTCCTTCCTCTCCAACTGCCACTGCCTTGGCTTCGAAGGAAGAAGAAGCAGGTGAAGCTTCATCATCCCTAGGTCCAGAAGCATAGGCCTCCATCCATCCCAGCTGTCACTGCCCTGGCCTTGGAAGGAGAGAAGAAGAGATTGAGCTCTATTATGTCTAAGTCCTTCATCCCAACTGCCACTGCCCTGTCATTGAAGGGAGAGGATCGTGATATCATAGAAGATGTAGCCACAGCTCC